TCCAGGAGGGGCGGGGCCGCCGGGCTTGGGCCCGGTCCCGGGAGGGAGGACCCCTCATTTCCTCTGTGGGTTGGGGGACCCTGGGCTCTAGAGCTGTCTGGGGAGGCGGGTACCCTCAATCCCGGGCCGCCCACTCATGTAGGCATGAAATTCCCACTTGCTGTCTTTCGGCAAAGAAACTAAGATCTGGGGAAAGCAGTGACCCCTCCAGGTCACGCAGGAAGTCAGGGCCTCCATTCATTCCACACAAGTACTTGCGACACCCACTTTGGCCCAGGAGCCAGGCTAGGCCCGGAAACGTGTTGGAGAGCCGGTGGGAGGGACACAGCTGCCAGATCTTTTAAAAGCCTAAATCAGATGATGTCAGTACCGTGCTTAAAGCTTCCGGTGGCTTCCCATGGCAGAGAAACAAATTTCAAATTCCTCACCGGGGCCCTGCCCTCTCCACGCCCCTTCCCAACCAAGCTCCAGCCCTGCACCCCTATTCCCCCAGGCTTGTGTGTCCAGCTGCTCTCGCACCCCAGACCCTGGCCCGGAGGCTTTTGCTCTTGCTGTTCCCTCTCTTGAAATCCTTTTCGCCAGACTGAACTTGCCTTGTTTTTCCTGTCACTTTGCAGGACTCTTTAAGCTCCACACCCCACACTCTTTTTTTTGTGTGTGTGTGTTACACACCCCGCACTTTTGTTGTTGTTGTTGTTTTGAGACAGGGTCTCAGGATGTAGTTGAGACTGACCTAGAACTCACTATGTAGTCCAGGCTGATCTCGGACTCACAGGGATCCTCCTGCCTCAGCCTCCCAAGTGCTGGGATTACAGGCGTGCACCACCACACCCAGCTTTGAGATTTGTTTTAATCATTAATTTTATTTGTACAATTTAGATATACATAATGACCATATTCATCATAGAGTTTGTACCTTACATCTCATTTTCCCACTCCGCATCTCTACCTGCTGTCCCTCTTTGCCTTCCTATTTATGAGCTTTATTTCCATTTTATCTCTTTTTTCCCCTTCCTTCCTTTCCCCCTCCTCCCTCCCTTGTGCCACTTCCCATTTGAACATTGTCTATTTCACAATATCTATTATACATTTTGAGAGATTTCTTATTTACAGAAATAAGATTTATTTACACTTTCAGTTTCTCACACCAGAGAAACAACACAATGTTTACACGTGACTCCCATTTATTTCACTTAAGAATATGGTCTCAAGGTGCATCCATGCACCAAGGAATGTCTCATTTATCCATCTTTATGGCTGAGGAGTACTCCACTGTAACCCCCCCCCACGTCTTCTTTATTCATTGGTGGATGGACATTTGAGCTGTTTCCAAGATTTACCTGTTACAAACTGTGCTGTTATGAACATGGATGTGCATATATCACTGGGGTATGAGGCTTTACATTCTTTCAGGAACATTCTGAGAAGAGGGATGAGTCAAGCAGAACCTCTAGTTTTAGTTTTTTACTTGATCTTATCCAAAAGGCCAAGAAGCGAGTTTTAGTGTTTTGAGGAAACACCACAATGCTTTCCACAGTGGCTGCACCAGTCTACACTCCTGCCAACAGTTTAGAAGACTTCCTTTTTCCCCAAAGATGTCAGAGATTTCCTCTTCATTAACTGGTTGGTTAATCACCCTGCTGGAATAAGTGTCACTGGAGAGGGCCTGATGCAGGCTTCATGTCCCGGCTCAGTGCCCGGCACAAACTAGCGCTCTGTAAGTGACTATTGGACCAGTGTGAGCAGGGGGTGCAAAGGCCCTCAGTGAGTCCCGAGAAGTGAAAGCCCAGTGTGGCTGGAGTGATTAGAAAGTCCCTGAGCATGCAGGGCCTGGCAGGCCATGGTGGTGGTGGGGATACAGCTTTTCATCCATGTCACCAGGTACCTGAGAGAGACAGCCTAAAGGAGGAAAGGCTTATTCGGGCTCATGGCTTTGGAGGGTTCCGTTCACGCTCACTTGGCTGTTTGTTGCTCGTAGGACTGTGGTGACGCAGAAACCTCATGGCAGCCAGGAAACAGAGTACAGGGGAAGAGACAGAGGGGAAAGAGGCCGTGCCCCTCAAAGTCATGCCACAGTAAACTTTTTGCAATGGACCCCACCTCCTACAAGCCCCTTCGGCTTGTTAGAGTCGTTAATGGATCATCTACTGATGAGGTCAGTGCCCTCCTGACCTCTCTAGGCCCCACCTGAACATGGCTGCACAGGGGATTAAGCCCTGAAAGCATGAGTCTTTGGGGGACGCTTCATACTGAAGCCGTAGCAGGGATACCCAGAGCAGTGTTATAAAGTGAGGGTGTGGGAAGGTGCTCAGATGTTTCTGGGCCCCAGTTCCGCTGCCAGGGCAGGTGCTCTGAGGCAGCCTTCCCCGGCTCAGGGGACAGCAGTGGCTTTCCCTGAGGGGTGTGGCTGGAGAGGGAGGGAGAATTCACAGAATTTGAGCTTGTGTGGATACACAATGAGGAAGAAGCTGGGGCTGGAATTCCGGACACCAGTCACGAAGGCAGGTAGATTCGGGCAGTCTGGGGAACTGAGGACAGGATGAATTTGAAGATTCACCATGACAACCAGCTGGGGCCTGTGCAGTGCTGCACTGTGGCTCAGAGAGAGCTGGCTGCAGAACCTGGGCAAGGATGAGGTCATGCGGAGAGGACAAGGAAAGAAGGACTGAGAGCCAGTCCTGAGGAGCCCAGCATCTCACAGCACAAGAGGGGCGCTCAAGGAAGACAATGGCCATCAAGACCTCAACAGGGCCGGGTGTGGTGTCGCACGCCTGTAATATCAGCACTAGGGAGGCTGAGGCAGGAGGATTGCTGTGAGTTTGAGACCAGCCTGGGCTACATAGTGAGTTCCAGGTCAGTCTCAACTACATAGTGAGACCCTGTTTCAAAAAACAAAACAAAAACAAAAACAAAAGACCTCGACAGTATCTGAGGGTGGACCCCGAGGGTGGTACAGGGAAGATGAGGTGGAGGGTCAGGGAAATAGCCTTTGAGGTGGCCTCAGCCTTCCTGGAGTTGATGGGGAGGAAAGCTGAGCAGGATGCCAGGTGTCATTACTGTGAAAGGGGCCGAGAGAGAATTGCCTGGTGCCTCAGCCTGCTGGGAGGCAGATTTGTTTCCCAGGAGAGGGGACCATCGGTGACCAGACTCCTGCTATAGCAGGGGGTAGGACCCAGAGCCCAAAAGGCAGCCCAGGAGACTGAGGGGGAGCAGCTGGAGGATGAGAAAACACAAGGCTCAAGGGCCAGGGCTTTCCCCAGGCACAGGAGCCAGGAGAGCCACTGCCAGGTGGCATGGTGGGCACCGAGGGATTGCTGGCCAGGCTGGGGCCAGGGCCAGGGCCAGGGCCAGCTCAGTCAACCTCAATTCAATGGAAGCTGCCCTGCCACGATTCAGTGGTAGCCCTTAGTGCTTGGACCCACAGTAAGTAGGGGTGCTGGGTGTAAGGCACCGAGGGGAGAGGTTCGAGGGTCCCTAAAATACTAGTCATCCTGGGTGAGCTGGCAGGGAAAGCACCAAGTAGGCCCTCTGCAGCCCAGCTCCCCGGAAAAGACCACCACAAAGAGAACACTTGGTCAACATTTATTGTTAACGTCTCCCAGACAGGCCAACCCTGGACCTGGGAGCTGGGCCTCTAAGAGTGTTTGTCTGGGTGCCCAGCGTGGCTACACTACTGTGCCCCAGTGGATCTGGGCTCTGTCAAGTCCTTCAAAGGCTTTCCAGGTCCAGGGGTCTGGGCTGTGTCACACTCAGAAACGTTGCCACTGTGGAGGGCAAAGTCACGTGCCATTAGGGGCCACTAAACCCAACATCAGCATGTGACAGGAGGGAAACTGAGGCAAGAGGGTGAACCCCAAAGAACAAAGCAACAGGGAATCCACCAGGTCCTCTGCCTGCTGGCTGGGGGAGGATGGAGCGCAGGTCCATCAGGGATGAGTGGCCAGCAGTCCCATCTGCTGAGAGCTGCAGAGGCCACTGTGCCCAGGTGGTCCTCAGGCTCTGACCTTTGGTCCCTGGTGGGGATGGAGAGGAGCCACAGCCTCACCCCAGTGGGCCTTCACTGAGCCTTCTTGGTTACGCTCCGGTTCTTCAGCATCACGTAGGTAATGAACAATCCTAGGATAACAGACCAGAGAGGCCAGGTAGGATCTGTGCTCTGGTCTGCTGGGAGGCCAGAACAGAGTACAATGACCCACAGGAGGGCCATGTACCGTCCCAGAAGCCTACAGGCCAGCTAGACATCGGGTCACATTCATTCAACAATCCCCAAGTGAGAACCCACTACAGGCAACATGCTGCACTTGCCTGTTTCATAGTCTACGGGGAACAAGAGCCACCTGTGTTCCTCAACTCAGGCACCGTCCTCCTCACCCACCCGCACCCATCATCCAGGCATCTGACTGTCGATCCCCCTGAGCCCCAAGTCAGTGTCGCAGCCTATGCTGGTGCTGAGGGTGCAGTCATGATGAAGACAGCCTTCACCCCTAGGAATCCACAAGACACGAAGAGGCACAGGAACTAAGTCGGGATGACAAGAAGGTGTGAGGTGACGGAGGTTTGAGCAGTGACGACGGGCAGGAAAAAGGGACACCTACCATTAGAGTCCCAAGAGCCTAAGGTATTAAGGGAGACCGGTGAGGTGACGAATTATGAACAGGGGAACCCCGTGGTGAGCTGGGTCAAGGGGCCTCAGGTAGGTGTCCAGCTAGTGCCCGTGTGCGGCATGGGAGAGGTGGTGACCTACCCACAAACAGAAGTAGCAGCAGGCCCACAGCCAGGGGGATGGCGACGGCGTAGGCTCTGGGCAGGAAGTACTTGTGGATGACGTGCTCGCTGTCGATGAACGGCTGGCATGTGGGACAGAGCTCTGGTGAGCACTGGGCACTCTGCCCAACCCCAAGCCCAAACATCGCTTCCCTCTGTCTAAGACACCAACACCATCAGAGCACTTTTTTTTTTTTTTTTTTTTTTTTTGAGGCAAGGTCTCGGCTATATAGTTCGCTATGTGAGTTCTTGAACTTACTAGGTAGCCCAGGCTGGCTCGAACTTGTGATTCTGCTACTTCAGCCTGCTGGATGCTGGGATTACAGGCCTGCGCCACCACACCTGGCTTTGCTTGTCTTTATTTATTTTGGTACTGGGGATTGAACTCAGGACCTTGTACTTGAGAGGCAGGCACCGAAACCACTGAGTTAAATCCCCAGCCCTTGCTTGTCTTTAAAATGTGGAGGTTTCATAAGATAAAGCGGGTAAAGAACCCAGCACATGGTGGCTGTTTCCATGGTGTCAGGGGTCGGCTGCAAGATCCAGAGCTGGGAGGGAAGGAGAGGCGAGGGAGGGGGAGACACATACCAAGAGAATCACCCAGACGGTGTAGTAGGTGAAGATGATCAGGCTAAGGGCCACGAGGCCGAGTCCCACCACCTGGTCCGTCCCCGTGGCCTAGAGAGAAGGGAGTGCTCCGCTGACAAAGTGACTACACTTTGTGCACCCCAGGAAGGGGGCGTCGCAGCCAGGTTACACCTTGAGTTTCCCATTCATTCAACAGCTGCGCAGTGGGCTGACCCGCCACCGATCTGAAGGCTGGGAGAGTGCCGAGCCCCGGCGTTTTCACCCGTGTACGGGCCGGCAGGACAGCAGTCTCAGCTAGGAATACCCAAGCCCCAGCTCCTGAGCAGACCCTCCCCGACCCCCACCCCGGAAATCCCTAACCCCAGCCGCATTCCGCGCCAGCCTCACCATCTCTCCCGCGCTCCGCCACCGGAGCAGCAAGCCACACTCGGTTCCGGATCCGGGCCCCTCCGACCCTAGGCCGCGAGGCACGTCGGGAGTCGTAGTGCGCAGCCCGGCCCAGGATCGCGTTGTCGGAGACTCGCAGGCGCCGCTTCCCTTTGTATGCTGGGAAATGTAGTTTCTCAAGGGTACCGTGAGGTCCTTGCCGGAAATCTCCCTACCGACTGAAACTCAGCTGGAACCTAGACTTGCCTGGCTTTCTTGGCCTGTCGCCGCCCCCTCCCCAAGTGCATCTTTGAACATCTCATAGTTCCAAAGCCAGTGCAAGGTTTGGGATCCGAAGTCCCAGTTTTCAAACGGGACAAGTGAGGACCAGAGATCAGCCTGTGGTAAAGGGTGTCCTATTTTCCGGTCTCCAGGCCCCAGTTTGTCTGTTGTGGGAAAAGTTACTGAAAACTGTTCACTGCCTGGCTCGATGTGAGGCCTGGCTTGTTGAGAGGCTGGCCCAAGCCTGTAGGAATGAGGTGGATTTCGATCGACAGTAAGGGGGCATTCCTTTGACCACCGCCTGGCTTTTTTCTGGAGCCTCTTGGGGGTGTCCCTTCCCTCTCCTCGTTGTCTGTCTCCTGGGTGTCACAGGGTTCCCACTGGCTCCAGGCCTTCTCCCCTCAGAGGAAGGGGAGGTTGGGCTGGGTCATCTTTGATGCCTGGTAGAGTCCCACAGCCAGTGGGTCTGGCTGCTTCTCACCGTGTGAGCTCTCATAGAGAGGACCCTCTCTCCCTGAATCTGCTTTCCAGCTGGAGGAGGGGACTCCCTGTTCTGTGGCCCACTATCCCAAGTCTGTGGGTTGAGGCATTTCAGTGATTGACGTATTTTCCATTAAACCCAGGGCCTTTGCACTGAATGACAACCTCAGCCATTCATTCATTCATTCATTGGTTTTTGGAGACAGGGTCTCACTATGTAGTTGAGACTGACCTGGAACTATGTAGCCCAGGTTAGTCTTGAATTTACAGTGAGCCTCCTGCCTCAGCCTCCAGAGTGCTGGGATGACAGGTAGGCGCCACCACGCCCGGCTTCATAAGGAATTTTTAATCAATTGTTTTTAAGACATAAAGACTTTCTTAGATCCTGCAGTGCTAGAGTCCAGTATTTTGGGGACTCCAGGCCTCTGTGAGGGTTACGTGGAGGCCCTGAGCCCGGACGCTACGCAGGGTTTGGGGAGAGATGTGGTCTGAGCGTGGTGTGGCTTCTCACCCAGCTGCATCAGCCTTCTCAGTTCTTCCAAGCCCAGTGCTGACGACGGGAGCTGCCCTCCCCAAGTCAGCAAGGCCAGCGCTAATGGCCTACGCCTCACTTCACCCTCCCTTCTCCAGGGTGGCACAGAGGAAGATACTGGTCATCGGTCCCTGGGATTAAAAGGGCTGTGAGCGGGGCGGGGAAGCAGTGGGGATAGTGATTTGGGGCAGACTTGGCGGCCTGATCTGGCCCTAAGCACTAAGGGTTCCTGCCACCTGCCTCTGAGCTCACGAAAGGCCGGGGCTGACAAGTTCCTGTGACGTGGGAGTGGCAGGAACGGGGTGAAGGGACCAGGCTGAGAAGTCCTTCTAGGTTAGGGAGCCAGGAAACCAGCGGGGCACCCCTGTGGGTCAGGCTGCACACCCCATTCTCGTGTGGTCCACGGGCTCACTTGCAGCAGAAGCCACAGGCGCAGTTACGTTACCTGCCCTCGGGGGTTAAAGCTGCCACTTACTAGGTATGACTGGCAAGGAAATGCCCTCTGGGCCTGTTTCCCTCCCAGGAACCTGGAGTAATAAAGGTAATGATGGCTGTGGGCGGTCAGGGCGTGGAGAATCCTGGCTGTCTACATCTTGCCCACTGGAATGCCACCTTGTGCATCTGCCTTCCTGTGATGGCTTCTGTAGCTTTTTTCCCCAGTATTGGGAGTCGAACTTAGCAGCTTGCACTTGCCAGGCAGGTGCGGTACCGCTGAGGTAACTCCCAAAGCCAATGTGGCGAAGTGATGACAAAAAAAAAAAAAAAAAAAAAAAAAAAAAAAAAAAAAAAAAAAAAAAAAAAAAAAAAAAAAAAAAAAAAAAAAAAAAATATATTTTT